AAACATTTCTATTTTGTACTTAACCCTTAAAAACAGAGTAAAAGTTTTACCTCCTGCCAAATTTTATCTTATCCACACTGTCCACTCCACATGTGGACTCTGACACACTGACTCTTAGTCACTTTTGTTGTTAATCCTCACTGAGGATATTTTTCCCACTGATTTTTAGAGAGCGTGGAAGGGAGGCAGAAGAAAGGGAGGAGGGCGGGGAGGGGAAAGAGAAACATTGATGTGAGAGAGACACATCAACTGGTTGCCTCCTGCACAGGCCACAGTCAGGGCCAGGGATCAAACCTGCAACCCAGGTACATGCCCTTGACCAGGAATCAAACCTGTGACCCTTCAGTGTGTGGGTTGATGCTCTCACCACTGACCCACACTGACCATGGCCCCTTAGTCACTTTTAAGCTCTATATCATTTAAAATCTAGAACATTTATATATATATATATATACACACACACACATATTTAAAGGAGAGCAAAGACTGAAGGATATCTTCCCCAGGGTAAAGTTTTTCAACCTCTGTTTACCTAATACACACTCTGTACCTTACAGCTAAGGTTTACATTCCAATTTGTATCTAAAGACAAGAGGCAGTTTGAATGTTTTTCGGCTAGTGTCATATTCTCACCTAGAGAACAATGCAACCGATTCACAACCATTTTTCTTATTCAACAAGTCAGCTACAGATAAATCCATTTTACTTTACTACGTCCAAATCTCTCCATCTCCACAACAATGTCATTAGTGAACATATTTTTTTCTACTATTGAAGTCTTTTTCTAAAACTGAAAATATTCTGCTGGCAAGAGTTTTTGTGACAGAAAAACATTACTCTTAAGAATCTGTCAAATTTATAAAAATACTTTATTATAAAGGAAAGTAAATGACCAACACTGCCCTGCCACTCAAATGCTCAGTTACAGTAAAAGTAACACTGAATTGTATCCAAAGTTAATTACAATGAAAATTCTGTACTCAAAAAGACAAATTACCTGTAATGAATTTGAAGCATGGGATATAAATTAAATTTAGCAGAGTGATCAACATTGCACATACCTTGGTCAGTCCTGAGGCATTTATTCTCCCCACACGAAACACCACAAAATCTCCTTTAGAAACCTCTGATAGCGGGGACTCGCGGTCAAGATGGTGGCGTAGGTAAACGCAGTACCGCATCCTCCCACAACCACATCAAAGTTACAACTAAACTACAGAACAACCATCATTCACAACCACCTGAAATCAAGCTGGATGGAAGTCCTTCAACTACGGAATTAAAGAAGCAGCCACATCCAGACTGGTAGGAGGGGCGGAGGCAGACGGGCTGGTCCCACACCCATGTGTGGCGGATAAAAATCAAAAGGATTCCTCAGCTGTGAAGGTCCTCCCTGAGGCCTGAGGGGTCCCTGCTCAGGGTTCCAGTGCCAGGAAAAGAAGTCCCCATAACTTCTGGCTGGAAAACCAGTGGGAACTGAGGCTCAGGGAGGCTGACCTGGCTGGAGCCCCAGGCAGCTCCCTAAAGGGCCCACGCACGGACTTATCGGACTCTCTCCCTCTAAGCTTGGAGGGGAGGCAGCTCCTGGGGCACCAGAGACATACAGGGAAGAACTGAGCTGTTTGGCATTGAAGTGAGGGCTAGAGAGGGAGCTTTCTCCAGGACAGATGTGTTGTCAGAAGCTTTTGTTCCTTTGGTGAGCCCTTCCCTGGGGCAGCAGACAGCCACCATATCTGGGACTCCAGCAACCTGGTTCACACTGGTTGCCCCGCCCTGGTGATTCCCTGAGGCCCCGCCCCACCCAACTTTCAGGCCCACCCAAGCTGTTGCCACTTGCTTAACCATAGGATTGGCCTGTCTTGGATCCTGCTTCAGGTTTTCCTAAATTGTTTCAAACAAGCAGCATCTGGTCTCAGCTAGCCCCATACCTCTCGTTAAGTAATACATAGAAACAAACACAGAGAGGCAGCCAAAATGAGGAGACAAAGAAACAGGTCCCAAATGAAAGAACAGAAAAAATCTCCAGGAAAAGAACTAAGTGAAATGGAGATAAGCAACCTAACAGATGCTGAGTTCAAAATACTGCTTATAAGGATGCTCAATGAACTTAGTGAGAACCTCAACAAACTTACTGAGGGCCTCAAGAGCATTAAAAAAAAAAAAACAGTCAGAAATGAAGGATGCACAGTCAGAAATGAAGGAGGCACTAACTGAAATAAAGAATAATTTACCCAGATTCAATAGTAGAGTACGTAAAGCCAAGAAGCAAACCATTGATTTGGAATATAAGGAAGCAAAAAACACCCAATCAGAACAGCAAGAAGAAAAAAGAATCCAAAAAAATAAGGATAGTGTAAGGAGCCTCTGGGACAACTTCAAGCATGCCAACATTCGCATCTTGGGGGTGCCAGAAGGAGAAGAGACACAAGAAATCGAAAACCTATTTGAAACAATAATGGCAGAAAACTTCCCTAACTAGATGATGGAAACAGACATACAAGTCCAGGAAGCCCAGAGTCCCAAACAAGATGAACCCCAAGAGGCCCACACCAAGACACATCATCATCAAAATGCAAAAGGTTCAAGACAAAGAGAGAATCTTAAAAGCAGCAAGAGAAAAGCAGTTACCTACAAGGGAGTTCCCATAAGACTGTCAGCTGATTTCTCAAAAGAAACTTTGCAGGCCAGAAGGGAGTGGCAAGAAATATTCAGAGGGATGAAAAGCAAGAACCTACAACCAGATTACTCTATCCTGCAAAGCTGTCATTTAGAATCGATGACCATATAGTTTCCCACACAAGGAAAAGCTAAAGGAGTTCATCACCACCAAACCATTATTATATGAAATGTTGAAAGGTCTTCTTGAATAAAAAGATAAATAATATGAACAAACAAAATGACAATGAATACACAGCTATTGACAATGGAATCTACAAACAAAATGAACAAGCAGAACAGAAACATTTTCATAGATACAGAGAACATTTTGTTGGTTGCCAGATGGGAGGGGGGTTGGGGGAATGGGTGAAAAAGGTGAAGGGATTAAGTAGTACAAATTGGTTGTTAGACAGACAAACCTCAAAGGGAAGGGGGGTTAGGAGTTGGGAAGAAATAAACCAAAGAACTTATATGCATATATGCATAACCAATGGACACAGACAACAGTGTGGGAAAAGGCAGGAGGGGGGCGGGAGTGGGAAGGAGGGGGTAAATGGGGGGAAAATGAGGAACATCTGTAATACATTCAACAATAAAGATATAATTTAAAAAAAAAGAAAACTCAGATAGCTATGACTGGCTGCCAGGTAAACCTATTTATTTCATTATACTATACAATGGAATCAATAGAAAAACTCTTCTTGAAGTTAACAAAAAAAAAAAAGCTTCTCTTGACTTAGATCAATTTTTCCAGAAAGTGAATCCACAATGGAAAAATACAACCTCTTGCAAGGTTACAAAAGTCCTTTAAGCTTCATAGTAAAACACTGGTAGAAGTATATTACTGTATCTCTGCATTTCCAAAATAAACATCCAAATCAACAACTGAACACTCTGGGCTAAGATTTTAGCCAAAATCAAAGCCAGAAAAACGTAAGAAACAAATCTGTGCATGGCAACCTTAGGTAGGGTCCTTGAAACGTGTATTTCACTCCCCGCAGCAACCCATCGATATTTCTCAAGTTATATGATGACAAAAATTCTATAAAAATGATAGACTAAAAAACTTTTGATCTAATAATTTATTTTCAAAATACAGATACATTTTCTATGTTCCTGCAATCTGCAATAATTTAGTAATCCAACCCTACCCCCATCCTTACTAATATTATCAACATGAAGTGTGTTTGAATTTTCTGTTCCAAGAAAAGCATTGAGTGCTTGAGTGTATTACGCAAAATATGACAGGAATGATATGGGGGCTGCAGACAGAAAGTAGAAATAAGTGAATGTGGGACATGGGACATCAGGTGAGCTCGGTGCTATCTGTGTCATGATGAAAGAGGAAGAGAAATGTGGAGCACACAGGTGTACACTGCCCATGAGCCTGGGAGTGACTCTCCTACACCTAGTGGAAGAGATGGACTGGTAAGGATGTGGTGGGAAGGGCTGTTGCAGAGAGATGTGTAATGTCCCTGTGTGACAAAGGGCAGAGGCCTGGAGGTAGGAGGAACGAGCTCTTTGAATGAAAACGTTAATGTTGAAATGGGATCACCTTGCTAAAAGAGCAAGCTACTCCTTCCCAGCTGTGGGGAGAGGATGCCATGGGTGTGTGATTGCACATAGAGAGACCTGCTCTCTCAGCTTGAGTTCATTCCCTACACTGTTCTCCATTACACTTGGAGAACTCTGCAATCTCCCATCTCCATAGCTATGGACAGACTTAATTCTTGTCATCTGTTAACTTGGGCTTGCTAAACATCTCAGGCAAAAGTCATTCAACTATCTCTTCTCTAAGAGGAATTTGGTTTTTTTACTAAAAGAACACTGAGCTGCAATGCCCACCACAATGTACATTTTATAGATTACTCATTCTCTCGGCAAGAAAAAAGACATCCATAGTTCAAATTACTCCACTGCTCCTATGTACAGAAATCTCCAAGTTTCTACCATTAAACAATAGACTTGGCCAAAAAATATTCAAATAGTAAAGGCCAAATTCATTTAAATGATAACTTATAGCTAGGATATTAAAGAAAACTTGATTTTTAAAGGCCTCCAATTTGTTTTTCCTACCATGGTAAATGTTGGAGTTTTTGTTTGTTTGTTTTTTTAAAGAAGACCACATTTTTCTTTTGACTGTAACATTTAGGAGACATTATAAAAGTAGTTTTAGTAATTTGATCCCTGTTAGAGACTTTGAAAATAATTTTGTATTTAGACACTGGGTCTGAGTGATTTTCCAGAGTTCTGAAAAAGCAGAGAGGCATCGTGTATGTTTTATGCCAACATTCCCCAGCTCTCAGTATCTGGGACAAAAAAGTTTTAAAATATACACTTACCTCCACATCACAGGTATATTCTGATCCATCTAGAAGTATCACCTTGCACTGCATGCTTTTAGGCTTCTTGACAATCTTTAATGGAGATCGAGAGAGTTTACTGCTATATGATTTCTGAGAGAGTTTATCGTCTTCCAATTGCTGATATTCGAGCTGTTTTGCAGCTCCAGCAGCAAATTCCCGTTCCTTGTCGGTGCCCTGTGAAGAACAATGACTAGTTTTCATTGCAAGACAGGAAATAAATATTGCATTGCTCAGGCAATATTAGAACACCAGAAACAGGCGTTCCTATTTCCTAAAGGATGAGAGACATCTGAATTAGGATAATAGGAAAAGATATAAATATACAAATATTTACAATGCTAATAATTTTACCTAAATAACGTTTGCCATTTAGACGCAAGAGTAGGGCCTTATTTCAACTTGACACTAGGATTTACTTTTGAAGCACTAAGCAAATGCCATTGAGACTTCACTGAGCAAAGAAGAAAAACAAACAGAATTCTGGCTTTTTAGAAAAGGGCATTAGATAGTGTTGGTCTTTAAAATAAATCATCTAGATTTTACCTAATGTACTTGATTTTCTTCATTCACTGGATCCTTCTGTAACAGGGGTGGGGAACATCCAGCCCGTAAAATCAATACCAGCTAACATCACACGCCTCATAAAATTAGCCTGACCAAATACAGCAGGCTAATTTTATTTTATTTTTTTCCTGTTCACTTTAATCAATAATATATATTTTTCTTTGTCAAATTAAGAACTGGGGAGGAATAAAAGAAAGCCTCATATATTAAATTTTTAAATAGCTTCTTTGAATTCAAAAATAAGGATCAATAGGAGAGGCACAGGTTGTGGGCCTGGTCCCAGCAAAGCCACCAGGGCAGTTCTGCAAAGGAAGTAGGGTGGCAATCCACTTAAAAAAAAGTTCTCGAGGGGAAAACTATAAAATACTTAAGTTTCAAAAGCCAGACTATGTTCACACTCTCTGTTCTCTATCCCAGAGTGTCCGAATATAGTGTTTCAAGGAAAGTTTTCACTGATTCAGGCTTTGCAAACAAACATATGCAAATACATTCCTCATTAGCAGTCCCATTTTGGTGATTAACAGTAAGCAGTAGGCTTGGATTAGAGGTTCGATTTCCACTCGAATGCAGTTTGTTCCCTTCTTGGCAACAGAGCCACTTGCAGAGATCTGGAAATCATAAGCTTCCAAGTGGGAGGAGGTGCTGTTCTGGTTCACCTGAAAATATCCTTTCAGACTGGCTGGAGTTTTACAGTCCCCTTTTAAGACCTGGTGTGTGTTGTTGATGACAATGGGGTCAGGGCTGCCGTAGTTGGGAGGGTTTGCACAGGGGTCATAGCTGAGCCGACCCAGCATGGGGTCAACCTGGGCCATGTCCCTTACCACGTCCCCAGGGATGTGACCAGTCCACTTGGAGAGGGCTTCCAGGTTCACCGGCTTGATGCCTTGGTCTGCAGAGTGCTCAATCCTGGACTTGCTCCCTCAGACAGGAGGCAACGTGAAAGGTACCAGAGACATAGGGGGCAGAACTGAGTTGTCGGGCCTTGGGCAAAGGGCTGGAGAGGCAGCCTTCTGTCAGAGAGACGTGCTGGTAGAGGCCTTTGTTCCTTTGGTGAGCCCTTCCCCAGGGCGGCAGGCAGCCACCATATCTGGGACTCCAGCAACCTGGCTCACACTTAGCAGGCTAATTTTTAAGTTGATAATTTTGTATGGCTCACAAATAATGTTATAAATATCCAAATGGCCCTTGGTAGAAAAAGGGTTCCCCACTCCTGTAAATAGTCTAAGACCCATAACTGCCAAATACACATGCATAAGGTTATTTGATAAAATTTAAGGCCTACAGAACTTCAAGTATTAATCTTCTCCGTAATTGTACAACTGTTAAAATATTTGATTTAGCTCTAAATCAATTCAATGAAGCCAGCAGCACTGAAATTCATCACAAAGTAATCCCCTAAATCCACTTTCCCTCACTGTAAAGAGCTAGTATAAGAACAGATCAAATCTGTCCAAAAGCATTAATCTGCTTTCAAATCACAACAGTCTAGTCCAGGCTAGACTCAGGACTGCAGAGGACATCCTATGTGACAATAAACTCCTCCCTTGCATCACTCTCCTCGGAAACGTCTCTATCATATGACTGCCAATGTATTAGTGCAAATTCAACTCATGGGTCAGACTACCATTCCACTGGCCTGCAAACATACACTGACAGTCCAAAGAAAAACATGTTCTGAAATTGTATAGGCCCCTTGAATAAGCATGAAACTTCCTCTCTCATAAACATACTGTCATCCTAGTAGCTAAATGTCAGTAGCTAAATGTCATGGGCTGAAGAGTGAAGAGAGTATTGACATTCTATCATTTCAACTCTTCTTTTTTATTAGCCTCTACAATTTTACAACATTCTAATATAATCATTATTTTTCAGTGTATTTATTTTAGATTTTAAGTATAGATTATTGCTTTTATAGTGGTATTTTCTATCTTAATTAACACTCTAAAGATTACAAATACAGTCCTTTCCTCCACTACCTTGCCCAGGAACTCAAGGAAAAGTCTTGAGAAGTTCTTAAGAATAAAAAAACAAAACAAAACACCATTTGCTAAGTGAAGAAAATGAGACAGGCTAGTAAGCCAGGACAAGCAGAATAGAGAAACTGAGACAGATATTATGCAGTTTGCAGCCATCTAGTAAATCCTCTCTTCCCTAAACTAGGGACACTTAAAAGCAAGTGATTTACACTTCGCCTCCCTTACCAAAGGGTAAGCAGCTAAATCACCCTACTGAGGGAGATAGATAAGAGAAATCCAATTAATGCCATTTGTGCCAACCACACCCAAGGACACATGAAGTTAAGGGAATCTCATTTTGGCACATCAGCATAAAACTGATGAATATTCTATTGAGATCCTCCCCTAAACTCCCAGCCTTTAAAACCCTTCAAAAGGAAAGTCCCCGGGGAACTCTCCCTCCTAGCAAGATGCCTGTGCCTTTCCCCTCCTTCCCTCCTTCCTTCCCCACAGGTATGCATCTCCTAAACTCTAAAGGACCTCACAAAGCTTGCAACCAGGGCAGCAATGGGCAGCAGCAGTTCAACCCGGGATTAATCCCTGAACTCGTGCCCAAGGCCCCCTTTTCTTTGACTTCTTAGTGAGCCAAAGCCCAGCCTGGGCCCATTTCCCCACCTAGGCCCTCTCCTGTTATCCTGGCCCATTCTTGTTTCATTGCCCCAGCTTTAATATAGGACTTCTAAAAATCACTAGGACTTTGCTGTGAAATCTTTCCAGCAGGAAGTCACAAACCTACCCACTTACCACTGGGCATAAGCAGATGCCTCAGGGCCAGGTCCGCTTTCTGTTAACAAAACCAAGAAAAAACCAGGGAACCCAACTTCAAAGTCCAAAGCAGTTGAGAAGGCAATTCCCAGCTAAAACAAAAGAAAACCTGCTCTGGCAACTTGGTCTGACTTCTTTTTGACTGTTAATCTTTCCATATCGAAGCATTAAAACAATGCAAAAAAGTCATAAAACATTCATTCTGGCCTTAAGGTAGTTTAAGAAGTTTGGTAACCTTGGATTTTTATATCAATAACCATAACACATTTGTTAAATGCTTCATAATTTATATAAGTCTTTTAATTTACACTTTATCTCATCATAAAAAAAGTCAACAGAAGCTACATTTTTATCTAAATTTTACCTGGAAATAACCTTTCTATGTAGTAGGTAGATAAAATTTCATTTTTTCTCCACTAACATAAAAGTACCTGTATCAAAATGAACTTTCTTGGTTACTTATGTGTCAATTCCAGAGTCATCATAAACCACCAGTGTTCAAAGGGAGGCCTCTTCTCCTTATCACCTGAAACACCAACCCATCACTAAGGCTCTTAAGCACATTTTGAAAACTTTATCAGCTCTGGGAGAGCAGGCCAAGTTCAGCAAAGTCAAATGTCACAGTCATGCAATACACTACAATTTAAATATCAGTATCAACCATTTTAGCAAATCCTCTTCTTCATTTAATCCCCATAAGAGCTCTAGGAGGTTGGGTATTATTACCGTAATTTGCACACGAGGAAAAAGGAACAAAGCACCATCTTAACAGACTTTCTCAAGGTCACAATATTAGTAAACTGGAATTCAAATTCAGCCAAATCCCATGTTCTAATCATCGCTAAATATCCGAATGTACCTTGTTATATACCTCCAACAGAACTGGGCTCCCAGTATGAATCAAAGAATTTTAGGGTGGAAAAATCTTAGACAATTATCTTTTCTGATTTCTTCATATGTAAATAAGGAACCAAGGCCCAGAGGACCTGAATGTCTCCAGACCACTAAAATAGCTAGGGGAGGGGACAGAGTAATCTAGGTCTCTTGACTTTGCAACCAGTCATCTTTCCTGCTAAGGATCTAGTATTACTTCTCTTGTTTTGTGTCAAACATCTGACTATAGAAGATAAAGTGTGTTTAATCATATCATACCTAGGTACAGAAAATCTTCCTTCTCCACAATTATCCCCACTTTCATTTTTATTTCAACTCAGAGTTAAGAGGAAAGAATAAAGAAAGCCAGCTTAGTTATCTTAAATTTCTGAAGATTTAAAAACAAACCAACACTAACACCATTACTCCTCCACACACACAAAAAGGTAAAGGAACATTACGAAAACAACAGCTCCTTAGATTTTGTTTAACACGTTGGAAAAATAAACTTATCACAAAACATCTTGGATCAGACAGAGCATCTATTTATACAACATGATAATAAATGTTATTTTCAATACTATTTAAAAGCAAAAACAAAAGCAAAACTTAAATATCATGAGAAAAGAAATAAAATAATCAGGCTGTAAAAATATAATCTAGTTTAATGTTATAAAAATGTGTTGTGCCTTCCAAAGAATTTTACTAACATGCTGACTTCATGTCTCTTCTCTCACGTGGTCTAGAATGTCCAGCTTAACACATAAGGTCTGACCTATGAAAAGTACATCATTTTCAGGGGACTCTAGATTTCCTTCCCACATGTGAGTCAGCACTCTAAAACATGCTGATCCTGGTCTGATGTTTTAAATCAAAGAAATTTAAACATGGATTTATTCAAGGCCCAAGTGTAAACCATGCTTTACATTTTATATGGAAACTTTCAAAAGAAATATTCAAATTACACATGACAACTGAAATACATCTAGAAGTACTAGAGTTGAAAATCTACATGTATGTAGGGGTTGGGAAAGAGACCAACCTGAACATCCACTAAGAGTAGCTGGCAACATTAGGGTCAGAGTTCTCCTGGGAAAAACCAAAATAGCTCTAACCCCTTGGCTTGAATAAAAATCAAGAGCATAATTTAAGCTGCCAGTGTGGTGTCTAGCCTCCCTGTAAACCCAGATAAAACCAATAACTTGCAATCCAGATTTCAGTGAGTTTAAGAGCTTCAATCAAATGAAGGAGTTACCAAGCAAGGTTGTGGAATGTCATTCACTGAAAGCCTTAAAATAGTATAAATTTTCATTTGCTTTGGACCAGAAGGGGCAAAGCAGATGACCCCTCATAGTTTTCTCTAGTGCTAAGAGACCGAGGTCAGACCAGACCCTGACAAAGCTCGGTAAACATTATTTAATTGGTTTTCTGGGTGATGCCAGCTGCTGCAGGGCAGCGGGGCAGTGTGGGTCCCATGGGCTCACCTCCTTCCTCACGGGGGTGCTGTGCGCTGCAGCGGCTGTGAACTGCTCCAAGGCCTGGTGCTGTTCCTCTGGCCCCTGCTGCACCCCCTCGGGCCCCTGTGGACCTGCCGCCTCCTGGGGCTCAGCTTCCTGCTCAGGCTTGGATTCTGAGTCTGAGCCAGATTCGGTTGTCATGGTTGATTGTTCTGCAAGCACAAAAAGGGAAAGTCCCATCACTGGGTGCAATTACTTTCCCTAGGCAAGAAAACTAGGATGCTACATGGAAGGCTGCAGAGACAGAAAGATGGAGAAATGCTAACAAGTGAAGCGTGGTCCTACCGCACACAACTAACACACGGCTTGTGCAATTTAGCATGAATGGTTCAAAATTAACATTTAACTACAAGTAAAAGTTGACTTGTAATGATCACAGATTTTATTCCTATTAGATTTTTGATTATCTAATCATGGAAGTGCATATTTTTTCTCATTCCCTTTCCCTTTCTTATCTCTAGGGACCCTGTTCTGCCTCTCCCAACCCTTGAATCTCTTCATGCTTACATGAACAAATGCCCTTCTCTTTTATTTCTCATCGAAACCACAACTACAACAAAGGCTTCTCCATAGACAGACTCTGACCCATACTGGAAAGCACTGGCCACGGCTGCAGGGAAGCTGGACAGCATCACCCCCCACCCCTCACAAGTTCATTCTCATAGGCTTCCTCCTGGCTTCCTTCTACTTCCCTTGAATGCTGAAATGGAAACTTCTCATGAACTCAAACAAAAGATCTTAATTTATAATAATCTGCTCTTATATCCTAAAAAAAGACTTTATAAATATAACCACCATCTTCTAAGCATTTGCTGGTCAAGATACTAAAGTATGTTGTGCCTCAGTTTCCACATCTGCTATATGAGGGAGTTGACCATGATCATGTCTAAAGAGTTTATTTTCTGTGGTTACTTTTCCATCTACTAATAGATATGTCATTTTGTTTACAGCATTTTTAATTTTTTTTGCTCTAAGCAGCAACAAAGCTCTTATGCTTGTGGTTACCATGTCACTGCAAGTAATTTGTTGGGTATTTGGGAGCTACCTCAAAAACAAATATTTCAGATTGTCATATTTTTTTCCCTTCCTAACTCTAATTTTATGGTAAAAAATATCATGAGCAAAGGCCTAGTGTAATGCTTTAAGCACATGACGACACATTAGCATAATGTAAAATTATGCAAAATAAAACTCCACAGTAAAACTATTTAGTTCCTATCTTCACAATGGAATACGTTTAATAATGTGAAGAAGAGGGAAACATCATACATAAATACCAATCTATGTTATAAACTAAGTGCTATATCATTGCTTCTAGATAGGGTTACTTTTTACAAACAGCAGTTATTCTTTCTGTTGAATAAGAGACATATCAAATTGACATGTGCTCAGATGCCCAAAGTGTATGTAAATATCAAGTCCAAATTCAGAGCAAGCAGTAATCCAAATAAAACTAACACATTTTCTATTTTCCTCTTACTTTTTAGATTTTCAAGCAAATCTTGAAGGTAAATATCATATCCTCTTTTGTATGTTTATACTGAAAAGTGGAGCCCACAACTGAATTCCACCTTTCAGAAAGGGGGAGATTAGTTTTAATAGTTCAATTCACTGAACTCTTATAAGTACCAAATATAAGTCAAGAACTGCTTATAATTTAGAAACAAAGATGAATGTGTTATAAAGCCCTTCCCCACCCCAAGAAGCGCATAGTCTGTGGCAGAAACAGACACTCCCCAAAATCCATTTCTTCCATTTTCCTTTTACTAACTAAACTCAGTTATTGCTGGTACTTCTCCATCCAGCTTGAAACTACAATGAGTTGTGGCCATGTGATCAAGTCTGACCAGTGAGACAACAGAGAAAATGTATTCAATGTTTAGGTCATCATCACAAAGACAAGCCACTTGCCTAGATTTTCCTTTCCCATTAGCTGGAAATTAATGACTAACATGGTACCCACTGACCCAGTCATGGAGGCCCCAAATTTAGGAGGATGCCAGAGCTGCTCCTTCAGCCTGGGTCCCCTGGATGACTTCATGGCCTACAACCCACCTGCTCTTGATTGTTATGTGAGGCAGAAATCAACTTGTGTCTTGTTTGAACTTCAGTATACTAGCCCACACCCAATCTAACATACATTCTACAGACTAAATTCTACTAGTCATTCTCTAGTGGTACCCATCTTACTAAAACAAAGTAGCTTCTCTTCATCTTATTTCTTCTGTCAGCTACCACCATATTTCTCTGCTTTCCACCCATAACTTCTCAAAAAATTTGTTGACTCTTACTGTCTCAAACTTCCTCACTTCCTCTTTGTAACCACTCCAGTATGACTCCACCGGGATGGCGCCTGTGGTTGATGCCCGGACGATGCGCTCTTGTCTGTTCTCAACTCATCTGACCTTTTAGTGGCCTGTACTTGTCAACATGCTTCCATCTCTTGGGATTCAGAACTCACCACACTCTCCTGCAGACTCCTTTTCATTCTCTTTTACAGGCTTACGCATTATCCAACCTCTGAACATGGAAATGTCCTGGAAAACTCCATCCTAGACCCTCTTTTCTTCTATCTCTACATTCCCTTCCCAGTTTGTGATATCCTTTTCCAGGGCTTTAAATACTTTCCATAAGTCATCAACTCACGCATTTCTATCTCTAGTCCAAACTCTTTTCTGAGCTTTTAAAACTCCAACTGCCCACCTGACATTCTTCACAGGTAACTATTGATATTTTTCTATTCCTCCCCTTATCTTCCTCACCTCAAAAAGTGGCAATACCATTCTTTCACGCCAGAATTCCCTAAGTCACTCCTGACATTTCCCTTTCCCTTACTTTATCTAATATAGAAAAGTTTTGCAAACTATATTTTGAAAAATATATAATTTTATAAACACATATTAAAAATATAGTCTTCCAAAATAATGTGGGGGTCAAGGGCACTGAAACCCTTGCTAAGGTAAAAAAATCTGCATATAACTTTTTACTTCCCACAAAAGCTTAACTACTAATAGCCTACTGGTGACCTGAAGCCTTACTGATAATATAGTTCATTAACACATATTTTGTATGTTATATGTATTATATACTTTATTCTTATAATAAAGTAAGCTAGAGAAAATAAATGTTATTAAGAAAATCAAGAGAAAATACATTTACAGTACAGTGCTGCATTTACTGATATAGTAAGTTTACATCATCTATTTACAAGGTAAATCGCTTCAGTACCTATATCAATATTATCTTATAGGATATAAAACACAGTAGACATTATATTTATTACTAACACTAGACATCAAAAAAGAAAACATTGTGAAAAAGAAATGTGTGTTTACTTACAGATATAACAATGCACACATTGATAACAAAGAAGGAACAATATGGTTGCTTTATGGTAGCCTAGTATAATCAATACCAAATCTCCAAAAAAAGTTCTCCAACACATTTATTGAAAATAATTCACATATAAGTGGACCCTTGCAGTTCAAACCTGCACTGTTCAAGGGTAAACTGTGTATCTCTAATTGGTTTCCTGCCACTAAGCAAGCCATTATTTCTTTCCTGAATTCTCTCAATAACCTTTTCCCTGCCTCTATTCCTACCCACCTCTATTCTGTCTGATCTTCATAAAATATAAATCTAGTCTTATCACTCACTGCTGAAAACCCCTTATTAGTTTCCCAATATGCTTGCAGTTAATCTAAATTATTTAATTAGCATGGCCTTCAGGGCAAACCGAGGCCTTAACTCCCTATCCACACCCAGCAGCACTGCCTCTCCTGCTGTCCCACAGTGATCCAGCCACACTGTCTCCTTTCAGTTTCTAAACCACATCATGATGTTCTGCCTCAAGTTTTTTTAGACATGCTGTTCTATTTGCTGAGAACAATTTTTCCTCTGCTCTTCATGTGGCCAATTCCCCATTCCTCAAGTATTGGTCAAGAGAGGCGTTCCCTCTTTATACGGTTACTCTATTTGTGCCTTATTGTTTCCTTCCTATAATTAATCAAATTTTATAATTATTCAATCCTCCCTTAACCACCTTCCCTTACACTTAAAGGTATGAATCACGTGTTTATTCCTCAATATACCCAGTACAATAATCCCTCCTTATTTGCAGGGTATACCTGAAACTGTGGATAATACCAAAACCCATACATATTATGTTTTTTAAATACATACATAGGTAAGACAAAGTTGAATTTATAAATTAGACAGTCAGAGATTAACAACTAATAATAAAATAGAACAATTATAACAATACACTGTAATAAAAGTTATGTGAATGTGGTTTCTGTCTCTCTAAATGTCTGATAACTGATCTGATAACCGAGACTTAGTTATCAAGTAACGAAGTAACTAAGGGGCAGCGGTGGACAAAGGGATGGGCCACGCCCCAGGCAGGATAGAGTGAGATGTCATCACACTACTCAGAACAGCGAGCAGTTTAAAACTTATGAATTATTTACTTCTGAAATTTTCTATCTGATATTTGCAGACCACAGCTGACTGCTGATATCACGTACAGGGAACTACTGTATCAACACGGTACCTACAACACAGTTGGTACTTTAATAATTATTTGATGAGCAACTGAATAATAAAATCAACCCCATTATTTTATCTCTACATTTTAAAGTGTAGTAACTCTTCCTTATAGTCTTTAATAATTTTAATATCTCTTTTAAGTGTGTAAAGAATGGGTATTTTTATGCTTTATAGTAAATAGAACTCAGTTAAACTTTCAGAACCAAAATCTCCCTACAAGACAATAGACACAATTGGTCTGTTCACGGTCTAATACTTTTATCAATAGACCAAAGGGTTTTCCAAAAACACAAAAAGAAAATGTTTGGGTAGTTTAGAGAATATCTATAAAAGAGTAACCAAAAAGTCACTAGATTATGAATTAAAAACCAAAACAAAATAAATGACTACTTGAAAAAGCATATTTTTAAAAATACTTATTTTTTCCTAGACAGGAAAGTTCTTGCATATAAATTTTATTATTTTTTTTAAATTTGGATACTTTCAGTAGGGTTCTGTTATTATGTGTGTTTCAGCAAATAATGGCCATTACAATAATTAGATATCTAAACTGTTACAGACATAGAAAACCACGATCATATATCCAAATATAAACATCTCAGTT